CCAATTAATGTTATTTCATCAATGTTTCTATCTCTTTCCCTCTCCCTTCCTCTCTATCTAAAATCGATAAAGAAAATAAAAAATTTTTTAAGGGCCCATAGGAACCACTCTTATCCCCATCCCCCACTCCAAAGCCTGATCCCAGCCCCAGTCACAAACTACCTCCAAGCCTTACGTTTCTTTCCATTAATGTGATCCAGAAAGTTGATGGAGTCCTTCACAACACAGTCACAGACATTGCAGTAATATCTAGCAAACAGAATGAAACAGCACTTAAGTCAAATCTGATTGTGAAGATTGTACTGTTTTCAACCAAGAAGCTCATATATTTAGGTAAAAACTCTTTTTAGGAGACACTTCTCATTTCCATAAAGCCTCAGCTCTTGGAAAATTGTAGTAACTAACCTCCAAGATGGCCCCACAATGATCCCCACCCTCTAATATTTCTACACTATGTAGTCCCCTCCCAATTTGTACCAGGGCTGGTTTGTGTAACCAACAGAATATGTCAAAAGTGATGCTGCCCCAGTTGGTGAGGCTCAGTTGGTTGAGCATTGTCCCATGCACCAAAAGATAGCCAGTTCAATACCTGGTCAGGGCACATATCCAAGTTGTGGGTTCAATCCCCGGTTGGGGTGTGTACCGGAAGCAACCAATCAATGTGTCTCTCTCATATCATTATTTTTCTCTCTCCCCCATCTCCTTTCCTCTCTCTAAAATCAAAAAAAGTGATGCTATTTCACTTCCAAGATTAGAATATAATTTTTTTTAAAAAAAAACATGACTTCTGACTTAGTCTGTCCATGTGGATCACTTGCTCTGGGGAAGTTACTTATTTTGTGGTGAGAAAGACTATGGAGAGGCCCATGGAATGAAGAACTGAGGCCGCCAAACCACAGCCACATGACAGAGACTAGAAGCAGATCCTCCAGCACCACTTATACCTCAGATGAATACAGACCCAGCAGATACTTTGATTGCACCTTTGTGAGAGATCCCGAGCTAGAATCACCTAGGTAAGCCTTTCTCAGATTCCTTACCCACAGAAATTGTGAGCTATTCGTTGTTTTATGGTGCTAAATTTTGGGTTAATTTGTTAATTTACATAGCAATAGATTACTAATATAGAGAGAAATGCTAACAGTAGCTCAGAGAAGTGTCACTCTGCTGTGTGTTTCCCTCCTGCTGGAAAACCTAACTGAACAAAAGAAAGGGCAGAAAAATGAAGAGTTCTTGTGGCATCCCCTCTTCCTACAGGTTACAGTGTTGGTCTAGAAAGGAAGGGCATAACCAGGCAATCCATAACAAGTACTACCTTTACAGCCAGTATGCAACTTCAACCCCCTTTATTCATCAACAATAGATCCTAGGCTCCATTCTAGTTCCAGCTAATTTCTCCTCTAGAAATCTCCTCAGTAGTCCTTTCCTTCTGGCAGGAGAACAAACTATCCCTTTTAAGATATTAAGAAGTAGTTACAGCCCGGCTGGTGTTGCTCAGTGGATTGAGACCATCCCATGCACCAACAGAGGTCACCAGTTCAATTCCTGGGGGTCGCAGACTCAACTCCCTGTAGGAGGTGTACAAGAGGCAGCCGACTGATATTCTCTTATCGATGTTCCTCTCTCCCTCTCCCTTCCTCTCTCTAAAAAAAAATCAATAAAAATGTATTTTAAAAATCTAGGAGTTACTGTGCTAATATGAAGAAGCCTACAGAGTGACCCTTCCTGATATTTCATAACATTAACCTGAGACCTGGGAGACAAAGAAAAATAAATCTAAGGGTGTAATTACAGGCAACAAGGTTGTTATCAGAGGGCCAGGAACCCTCCTCAACACATCATAAAACAAACATAATCTATTAGACCTATTCCTGGCTACAGTGAAAGATGAAAAGTCACTTACCCTCCCATCTCGGATTGTGGGGTAGTCTTGGTAATGACAATTGTCTTCCCAAGCTTGGATTCCAAGTCCACCTTGTAGTCCCTATGCCGGAGAAGCTCACGCTTGACTGGCTGCACTGGTTTTCCTGAAATATAATGGAGAATGAAGTCCCTTCAATATTACAGTTCCTTAAACAGAAAGGAAAAGATATGCATGCAATTCAAAATCCAAAGGTTTACTCTCATTTCTTTTTTGAAACCTGAAGCAAGGGGCACAACAGGTAATTCTAGCAGCAGACAGGGAGAATCTGAACAGGAAAAATGATAAGCAATCCTTAACTCACTACAACATTTCTCCACTTTAAAGCCAACAAGTCTAAAAGCAATGTTTTCTATTCATTAACTAAATTGATGGGAGAAGTTGTGAATTTTCATAAAAAGAAACCTTTTAAAAAAAGAATAAGGAAACGCAATAGTGTTTTCAGATACCCCAAGCATAACACAGAATGGAATCTTCTGAGAGCTGGGGAAAATTTTTAAAAGGGGACTAACACTTAGGAATTACCTGTTACATGCCAAACACTGTTCATATATATATATGTTACATAAAAACTAAAAGGGTTAGTGTGTGCAAGGTGGGTGGAAGTAAAATGAAAGAAGAAATTACAAGTTTAAAAACAGATGAGAAAAATCAAATATTTTTGTATAGTGCAATCCTATCTAGAAAAGGTGTACCAACTCCCTGACATTGTACAAGACATAGAGAACAGTACTACTAAACACTAGCAGAAATAATCACACCTTCCCAGGCCAGTACCCTTAATCTTCTCAGACTACAGGAAGAGGATTCGTCTGGGTCAGGAATGTTCTTCACCCTCTTAAGTAATTTCAAGAGAAAGAAGGGGTCTTCCATAACAGTAACGCACAGCAGCAAAACACTTCTCTTGAATTCTGTCACTAAGGATCCCACTCTTTTCTCTGTACTTCAGGAAAGTATTAAAATGAGCCAAGCAAAGGAAGCAACAGGACAACAGAGCTAGAAGGCACCTCAAAACCACTTCAGTATATCTTCTCGCTCATTTTATACATTTAAAAAAAAAAAAATCGAGGACCAGGAAGGCAGCGCTCTGCCAGAGGTTACACCGGGTAAGAGGACAATGCGTTTCGACTCCCCACCGGCTCTCCAGCCACTGCATCGCCTCTACAACACCCTTAACCCATGATGGAGCAGAAACCCACCATCCTTCTTTTCTCTTTCTTCCGTGAGCCTCTTCTCGGCGAGCTTCTCATATTCATCTTTGTCCCACTTGCGGCGAAAGTCCAAGTTTTTTGTCTGTGGAGATAAAAAACCCTCAGGATTCGTCGCGAATAGTGTCGGTCGCCTAGGGAAACCGTGTCACCGCCGGCAAGGCGGCCCCGGGAACTGTCGAGAGCGAACGCTGTCCGGACCACACCAGGAGGCTGAAGTGGTCTCAGGACCGACCCCAGCCCGAGAGACCTCCGCGACTCCACTGACCCTGCGCCAAGGCCATACGGGGCCACAGAATCGCAAGGTGTCGGGAAGCCAGTCCGGTGCACTATATCGCGCGCTTAGAAACCACCCCCTAGCCTCCAACCTCTTCAAGCCTCCTCCTACACACAACACCTACCCCGCTGCCCGACGCCATCTTCACCGCGAAGTGAATGGGAAGCCGGAAAATGTCGTAAAAAAGCGACTTTAAGCCGTAAAGCAAGCGTACCCTCCAATAAACTTAAGACTCTCGTGTTCTAAACGAGCTAGACTCAAGGGCTCCTAAAAGAGACTTGTCAGCTCCGCCTCTGCTCCAAGAAAGTGGCGCATGCGCACGGAAAGTATGAAGCAACACGGAAGTAAGGGCGCCTGCAAACGTTTTTTGCCCAGGCCTTCGGAAACAACCATCGAAGGGGGATGTTCAACTCATCTATTTTACAAACGAGGAACCTGAGCATCAGTGTTGTCTGGTCTAATTAGCTTTACGTACATTGCTAAGTTTCTAAACCTTCTTTAAAGCTGAAGCTCTGTTACTAAGAACTTCAGATGCCCCATTTACCAGAATACACTAAAGATATGAGCCCCCACACCACCGAAGTGTTTGCAAAGGCTGCAGCCTTCCCAATGCACACATAGAGACGCTTTTTGCATTTGTCTCTTTATCTTGAAGGAATGCTATCATTCTATGGTTAACTCATTTTTCCCTCAACTGAGGATTATATTCGATCTGTAGGGCACAATTTAATCAACATGATTCACTCGGGAAGGCCAGTTATCAGCAACAGTCTAGGGTGAAGAACTCCGACAGATGGCTCACTATATGCTGATTTGGTGACATGAGTGTATCTCCAAGTTGGGGGAGGGTGCAAGGGGGAACTGTGGCTGCTTCCTTCACTGAATACAGGGAGGTCACTCCTTGCTCAAGATTAGAATTCAGCCCTGGCTGGTTTGGCTCAGCGGCTGGAGCATTGGCCCAAGGACCAGAGAGTCTCGGGTTTGGTACCCGCTAGGGGCACGTACCAAAAAAAAAGATTAGAATTGACCAGTGCACACTCAAGCATTTTCTATGGCCTATGCACAGCAATCCCTTGATAACAAACTACTACATTAAATATTTTATTTAATATGTTATCCAACCAATTCTAGAACAGCCTCCTCCATGGCAGGACATGAAATACAGTAGTGATTCTGGCACAGGAAATGTTCTCCAAAATCTCAAAAGATCAGATTTCCATCTTGTCAGGTCACCTATTAAGTTCAATATTCAAGATTATTAAACAGACAGCCTTACCCTGCTATTGTTAACAGTGGATGGGCTAGAGAGATGCCACATCAATATGGGTACTGCTATGCCCTTGGGATAGCATCTCTGTCCTCAAACAAAACAGACAGCAGCCATTGCCCCACCTTGTTGTCTCCCAAAAACTTGGACAGGCCAACAGCAGGCTGTGGACAAGTTCCCCAGAATATGGTTCAGAATCCTCTCAGCCTGAGGTAACTCTCCCAGAGTCTTGCTCACAGCAAACACCTTAGCACTTCTTGGCAGCATTCAATGGCACATGAAATATATCATCTGCCTCTGTGATTTGAGCATGTGTCTTTCACATACCAGCCATCTGCACCCATGCAGAAGAGCTGCTCACAATAGCCCAGGAGTCCTCAGGGCTTTCTACAGTTCTGTATCCAAGAAGGATGGAGGTGGCAGAGGCACTTGTCATTCATCCTGGCCAGCAGTTGTGAAGTACATCAGGAACCCAGGCCTAAATAAAACATTTTCTACAAAGAGCAGCAGATGACAATCAGGAAAGGATCAAGATTCGAATAGTCGCTTCTGAATTTCAGCCACAAGATTCTCCCGTTTAATGGCTACCTGAAACACAAGAGAACCCTTATGTGACAAACCAGAGTGACACGAGCTCCTTAGCCATTGCTTTTCCAGATTCATTTTACTCTATATTGCCCCCACTACTTATGCAACCAGTAGGGAGTAGTGTGCACTTCAAGCTAACCTGGAGAATGTTAGTCCTCAAGACTAAAGGAATTCAAATGCCTCATCTGTGTCTATTTTGTTAATTAGTCTCAAAACACCCATTTAAATTTCATCTGACCTTCTTCTGCCCACCCAGCCAGTATCATTGGCTATAATGGTTGCCTAGGATGGGTCTTTATACATTTTTATCACTATTAATTCTGGAGATATTTCCTCAGCCAGAAATATATTTCTTAAAAGAATCTTAAAAAGATAGAAACACATGGTCCCTTCTATTTTTGCTTGCCCCACTCACCTCCTCCCTACTGGCCACTGAACGGAGCTTGATGACACCTTCCTTCAGTTCTTGTTCACCAATAATGACTACCAGTGGAATGCCCATGTTTTCACAGTAGTGCAGTTGCGTTAGTAATTTAGGGTTGTTCTTATACAGCAGCTCTGCCTTAAAAGGATGAAGATAGAGTAGGGGATTTAGAAGTGACCACACCACTCCAGCCAGAGGAGTATTTCCAAAGAAATAAATAGCTAGCACTCCTACCCTAAGAAGACACTCTAGTGAAGGAAGACTTGAAAGATCTTGAGTTCCACACAAGGCATAAAGTAGAAATGGGCCTGGTGCCTGAATTCCACATCTACCCACATGGCTTGGATATTAGCTCCACCATACCTTGATCCCAGCATCCCAAAGCTCTGCAATTAGCTTCAATCGTTCTCGGAGAAAGTTCTTCTGTGGAGTGGCCACAAACACTTGAGTCTCTGTGGTCCGTATCTTCTCACCAAAAGTCTGATAAAAGAGAAGAAGTAAAATAAAAACTTCCTCTGCACTAACTCCAAAGAACAGGGCAAAAATAATTATAAGAAAAACAGTCCAACTGCACCTCTAGGAACATGAGAATTTTCAGTCCCACTCCACCCCTACCTAGGACCTACCTTCATCCTCTGCTCCAAAATGGAGAAGATTCTCTCTACCCCAATGCTGAGCCCCACACACGGCACCTTGTGGCCCTTGGGGTTAAACATGCCCACTAGCCCATCGTAGCGTCCACCAGCAGCCACGCTGCCCACATTCAAAAGGTCATCCTCAGCCTGAGCTGGGGTCTGTACCAGTACTGCTTCATAGATCACTCCTGTATAGTAGTCCAGGCCCCGAGCCAGGCTTAGATCAAAGGAGATCTGTGGGAACAAGGCTATAATCAGTCCCAGACAAGATTCAGGACCCTGAGAAACCCAGAGCTCAGCAGGAGGTCCACACCCAACTCAGCTTACCTTCTCTGCAATTCCAAATAAAGTCAAATATTCAAAGAGCAGCTTCAAGTCCCCCAGGCCCTCTAGGGCCTGCTTGCTCTGAGTTAGTCTGGGATCCTGGAACATTTGCTCTAACAAGGACAGCCCACCTGGGAGACATGTGGGGAGAGATAAGGGCTCTGCTACTCACCCAGATGTTTCATCCAAATTTATCTCTAGTATATTCCAGCTAATCTTCCTCATTTTCTTTAAAAAAAAAATTTTTTTTTAAAGCTACTGATCTCATATGACCAGACTCTCCCCTCTGTCTCTACCTTTGCCTTCTGAAGACATAAGGTGGTTACAATAAGTAAAAGGGGAATTACATTCAGGAAGGCTCTGGAGCTTAGCACATCTACAGAAAAGAGCTGCTTCAGAGGTAGAAGTTGTACACATATTACCCTCACTCTGGTTCTATCATATAGCTTTGAAACTCTGGTTCTTACCATGACATTGGACATAGTCCCCAATTCGATCAGCTACTTCGGGAGCCACGCCTTTCTTTGCCACCATCTCATGTCTCACATCTTTCCAAGATATCTGCACAAATACTCAAACATTAGCCCAGCCCCCAAATCCTTCTTTCCCTAAACAGAAAATATCTCACTTTCATTCAGTATGTATGCCATGAGTAGCTAAACCTAAACTCAGCAAAGTCAGAGGCAGCTTAGAAAATCCAGCCACAATTCCCACTGTACAGCAAAATTCAAATCTTACTTCAGAATATCTCCCTACCTCCCTTACTTTCAGCCACCATCTTCTTATAGTCCCTCTAGGGATACAGACTCGAGGGCAGGGCAGAAACTCTGATAGGGTCTACTAAAGCCTGATTTCTTTCGTACCTTGTCCAGTTTGTCTATGGAGGAGCAGACGGTATGGAACTTGCTTTCAGGAACACCACAGATGGCAAACATCCCATCCAAAATCCGCCGGTCATTGACCTGTGAACTCAATGGAATTAACCCAAGTGCCTTTTCTTTCAATGCCCTTTCTCCCAAAACAATGACAGTTGCTACTCCCCTGAGTCATAAAAGAGAAAGGAAATTTCACAGGATATACGTGTGTGTGTGTGTGTGTGTGTGTGTGTGTTTGTTTTTTATATATAATGCAACAGCTGTACTAAGAAAGTCCTAGAGATGCAGACATAAAGTTTGAGCCACCTGTGCTTTAGGAGAGCAGCAGGCCAAATCCAGACTTCTCCCCTAAGTCCTCAGCTGTGACCTCACCTTAATGAGAAAGTCCCCTAGCTGCAATCCACTTAGGATTTCACAGATGATCTTCAAACACTCTGCATCAGGAATCATAGGGTCAAACTCACCAGCAATGTCAAAATCCTACAGCAAAGAAAAAGATGGGGAAAAAGTCTCCACTGAGCAGCCAGTTCCCTGGTTCTGGCCCCCAGAATTATCAAACCATGCTGCCTCCTTCAGGTCACTTACACACTGGCAGAACTCCCTATAGCGGCCTTGGACTATGGTTGGGCTCTCTCGCCGCCACACCTTTCCAACATGGTAGCGTTTCATCTTCTTCAGTTTATTCATGGCCATATAACGTGCAAAAGGGACCTCACATAAGTAAGTTAAGGAGGAAAAACACTACATCCAAAGCTTAGGCCCAGTGTAAAGACATTAGAGAAGACCGAGCCTTTATCAGTTGGATCCCATCCTTTAGGATAAGAACACATCATACCTTCTCTGTCTTGTTTCCCATTATCCCCAAGGCCTAGCTGTACCTGGCATTTAATATATGGGGTGGGCAAAAATAGGTTTACGCCTGTGAGTATGCAAAACAGTTTACTTTTTCTTTTTTTCTTTATTGATTTTAGAGAGAGGAAGGGAGAGGGAGAGAGAAACAGAAACATCAATTGGCCACCTGCTGCATGCCTGCCACTGGATATTGGGCCCATAACCTGGGCGTATGCCCCGACCAGGAATCAAACTGGTGACCTCTTGGCACATGGGTTGATGCTCAACCACGGAGCCACACCTGCCGGGCACAACAGCTTACTCTTTTATTATTATTTATTAATTATTGTATTATTTATTTGTATTATAACTGTAAACCTACTTTTGCCAACCATTGTATACTGAATAGTGTCAATTAAAGAAATTCCACCTAGTCCAGAGAGACCCAGGTTCAGTTCCCGCTAAGGGCACGTACCTCGGTTGCAGTTTGTCCCCGGCCCTGGTTGGGTCGTGTGGGTGACAGCCACTCGATGTGTCCCTTTCACGTCGATGTTTCTCTCTCTCTCTTCCTTTCTCTCTCCCACTCTGTCTGAACAAAAAATGAAAAAAAAAAATGTCCTTGAGTGAGGATAAAAAAAAAGAAATTCCACCTATTAAAACTATAAGTTCAGTAGAAAGCATGGGAAACAAAGATAGAAATGTCACAAGAATTTCAAGTCTGGGCCATTCCCTCCCATTTGGATCAATTCTCTACCACCTCAAAAGAGTCAAGCTTCAGCCCTGGCCGGTTTGGTTCAGCAGAGCAGTTAGAGCATCAGCCTGTGCACCAAAGAGTCGCAGGTTCGATTCCAGTCAAGGGCACGTACCTCGGTTGCTGTTTGGTCCTGGTCCTGGTCAGGGTCATGCAGGAGGCAACCAGTCAATGTGTCCCTCTCACGTCAATGTTTCTCTCTCCCTCTCCCCCTCTCTCCCTCCTTGCCACTCTCTCTGAAGATAAATAGAAAAATGTCCTCAGGTAAAGATAAAAAAAAAAAAAAGAGTCAGGCTTTAGAACCTTGATTTGCCTTCATCCTACATGTCAATATTTCTTTTTTTAAAACGTTTTTTCTTTATTGATTTGAGAAAGAAAGGAAGGGAGAGGAAGAGAGATAGAAACACCGATGAGAGAGAATATCAACTGGCCACCTCCTGCATGCCCCCCACTGGGGATCAGGCCCACAACCTGGGCATGTGTCCTGACCAGGAATTGAACCAGCAACTCTTGGTGCATGGGTCGACACTCAACCACTGAGCCACACCAGCTGGAAACATGTCGATATTTCTTAAAATGCAGGTCAAGGACCATCTGCATCTTAATTACCCAGGTGCCTGTTAGAAATGCAGACTGTTGCCCTGGCCGGTTTGGTTCAGCAGTTGGAACATCGGCCTGCAGACCAGAGAGTCCAGGTTCAGTTCCCACTAGGGGCACGTACTAAAAAAAAGAAATGCAGACTGTTGCCCTGGCCAGTTTGGCTCAGCAATTACAGCATTGGCCCGTAGAGTGAAGGGTCAGGGGTTCAATTCTGGTCAAGGGCATGTGCCTGGGTTACAGGTTTCCCCAGCCAAGACCAGGGCTGTGTGGGAGGCAATCAACTGATGTGTCTCTCTCAACATAAATGTTTCTCTTTCTGTATATATATATATATATATATATATATATATATCCCTCCCTTCTACTCTCTCTAAAAAATAAGAAAATCAATGGAAAAAAATTTTTTTGAAAAGAAATGCAGACTGTTGAGCCCCACTCCAGCAACAGAATTAGGAATATCTGGGGCTGGGGGCTAGAAATCTGTGTTTCTGTGTTCCCCAGAGGGATTCTGATACACACTGAAGTTTAATGACAGTACTCCAGGCCAGGCTCTGCTGGCAGAGTTGCCTTCTGTTTGAAACTGAAAGTAAACCCTGCTGCCTATAGACCTATAGGGTCTCAGAGTCACTCTTGTCCCTTTTGTCAAAGCCCTCTGTGTTTGGAAAGAGGTAAGTCAGGTTCCAGCACTCAGAAGGATACAGTAAGGTCATAGCGCAGGGATAATAGCTCTCCACCCTGATCCTTCAGATCATAGATGAGCCCAGAGTCCTCTCCATACTTCTCAGTAAGCATTTCCTGCAGGAGTCAAACAGAAAGCAACACAGTTGAAAGGAGGACTCCAGAACACAGGCTGGAAGGTCTTTGGGAAACTGAAAGCAAGAAAAAAATGGTGTTCCGGCACTTATTTCTCCACTTACCTTTAGCTCAAATGCTGGGGTATCCAACCCTTTTGCTCCATGACGTTTAAAGCAGCTAACAATTACATCAAGTATTTTCTCCCTCACAACCATCTGCTGGGGACTAAGATCTCTGGTGCCCTAAAAACCAAAAGCAGCCACAGTGAAAACAAAGACAAAAAACAAATCCATTTAGCCCAGGCTGGTTTGGCTCAGCGGTTAGAGCATCGGCCTGCAGTCCCAAAAGACCCGGGTTCAGTTCCAGCTAAGGGCACGTACCTCGGTTGCAGTTTGTCCCCGGCCCTGGTTGGGTCGTGCGGAAGGCAGCCACTCGATGTGTCCCTTTCACGTCGATGTTTCCCTCTCTCTCCCCCGCTCCCACTCTATCTGAACAAAAAAATGGAAAAATGTCCTCAGGTGTGGAGAAAAAAATTAAAAATTAAAAAAAAAAGTCCATTTAACACAAAGAGTTAGCCCTGGCCAGTTTGGCTCAGCTGTTAGAGCCTTGGCCCACGGACCAGAGAGACCTGGGTTTGGTTCCTGCTAAGGGCATGTACCTCAGTTGCAGTTTGTCCCCCGCCCCGGTTGGGGTTGTGTGGGTGGCAGCCAGTCGATGTGACTCTCTCACATCGATGTTTCTCTCTCTTCCTCCCTCTCTCTCTCCTGCTCTATCTGAAATGCAAAAATGTCCTCAGGTGAGGATTTAAAAAAAAAGATACAATTAAACTACATCCATAATCTAAGTGTAGAGTTGAAATCTCCTTGAGCTCAGATCATTCTAAGTGCTAGTACCTCAAGAACAGTGAAGATTTTTTTCTTTTAATTAGTCTAAAAAGACGCTCAGCCCTGGCTGGTTTGGCTCAGCTGTTAGAACATCGGCCCTCGGACCAAAGAGTCACGGGTTCAATCCCCTGCCTGGTGGGGGTCGTGCAGGAGGCAACCAATCGATGTCTCTCTCACATCGACGTTTCTCCCCCTCTCTCTCTCCCTCTCTACCACTCTATCTAAAATAAAATAAGTTAAATTAAATTAAATAAACAGACGTTCAAAGGAGTCAGGAAAAGACAAGGCACTCTAATGGGACAGGGTGAGGCAAAGTGAATTACCTTTGGTGTCTTGATAATAAAATTTGATTTCTCTTGATGTGGTTTCAGTTGGGATGTTAACACTGCCTCTACAACCTGGCAGAAGAAAGAATGTGAGATGTGGTTTCTCTCAAGACTAGCCAGACCTGTGACATCACTGGTCCTGTGGACCATCAACCTGCAAAGAGCTTTGGTCCTGAGCAACAGGAAACCTAAATACTATTTTATCTATCCCAATCTCAGCCCCTCTCCAAAAACCCATGTTGTATCTGCAATATATATGTAACACACATGAGGTCAGGTCTTTACCATACAAGCTTTGTCTAAAAAAGTTTAAGAACCCAAGAACAATGAAGGCAAAGAACAACTCACCACTACCGCCACCAACCATATGGGGGTAGGGATTAGCATATCTTTTCCAGGTCTCAGTTCCAAATCAAAGAGCAAAAATAAGAATGTTTTAATAAGGTAGCAATGGTCATGAAGCTTGGAAACAGGTAAAAAGGAACTTGAAGCAGAAGAGAGCCAACCCAAGGACAAAGAACATGTTAGAATGAGCAGGAATGCAAAACTAGACTGATAGGATGCTGAGGCTGAAAATTAATAACAAAAGATTTGAGTCCTGTTTTTTCTTTTTTTAATTTTTTTCTTTATTGATTTTAGAAGGAGAGGAAGGGAGAGGGAGAGAAATATAGAAACATCGATGAGAGAGAACATTGATTGGCCACCTCCTGCATGCCCCCCAATGGGGATCGGGCCCACACGTGGGCATGTGTCCTGACCAGGAATCAAACCGGCGACCTCTTGGTGCATGGGTCAATGCTCAACTACTGAACCACACCAGCCGGATGGACCCTGTTATTCATAATAGCACAGAGTATCTGCTATAAAGACAATAGGGTCGACCTGGTCGGTTTGGCTCAGTGGTTGGAGCATAGGCCTGCGGTCTGGAGACCCGGGTTCGGTTCCCGCTAAGGTCACATACCTCGATTGCAGTTTGTCCCCGGCCCTGGTTGGGTTGTGGTGGTGGCGACCATTCAATGTGTCCCTTTCACGTTGATGTTTCTCTCTCTCTCTCTCCCTCCCACTCTATCTGAACAAAATATCGAAAAATACCCTCAGGTGAGGATAAAAAAAATAATAAAATTTTAAAAAGACAATAGGGTCACGCAGCCAGTGTGGCTCAGTGGTTGAGCATCGACCCATGCATGCACCAAGAGGTTACCAGTTCAATTCCCGATCAGAGTACATGCCCAGGTTGTGAGCCAAATCCCCAGTGGGAGGTACGCAGGAGGCAGCCAATCAATGTTCTCTCTCATGGATGTTTCTATCTCTCTCTCTGCCTTCCTCTCTCTCTCTAAAATCAATAAAGAAAAAAAAAATTATAAAATAAATAAACACCCTGGCCGGTTTGGCTCAGTGGTCAGAGTGTTGGCCTGCGGACCAGAGAGTCCTGGGTTCGGTTCCCACTAAGGGCATATACCTCAGTGGCAGTTTGTCCCTGGCCCTGGTTATGGTCTTGTGGGTGGCAACCAGTGGATGTGTCTCTCATGTCGATGTTTCTCTCTCTCTCCTCCCCCTTCTCCCCCTCCCGTTCTATCTGAAGATAAATGCACAAATGTCCTCAGGTGAGGATAAAGAAATAAATAAGTAAATAAAGCCAATAGGGTATTTACAAATGTAAAACAGAATCAGTGATTTTATTTATTACCAGCAGGCTGTATGCCCTTCTACAAATATAGAGGGTGTGCTAGTTCTATATTTTGGTGGATTCTCTACTCCAGTTCAAGTTCACAATCCCTTCTCTGCAATTCCAAAATCCAAAAATCTCTGAAAACCAAAAATGGTGTGGGTTGTTTATTTAAGACTCGTTTTGAGGTAATTCTAATATGAACTGTCTACTTATGGTCGTTAATCATCCCAGTGGAAATATTCATATATTTTGCTTAAGAAATTAAAAAAAAATTTTTTTTTCTGTATTGATTTGAGAGAGAGAGAGGAAGGGAGAGGGAGAGAAACATGGATTGGCCGCCTCCTGCACGTCCCCCGCTGAGGATTTGGCCCACAACCTGGGCATATGCCCTGACTGGGAAACCAACTGGGGACCTCTTAGTGCATGGGCTGATGCTCAACCACTGAGCTACACCGCCGGGCTTGCTTAAGAAATGTTAACGTTTGACCCCAACAGGTTCAAATTAGGGATTGTGGGCCTATATTAAAATGCTTCCTTACTATGTAACCATAGGCAAATTATTTGGCCATGCAGTTTCTGTTTCCTGAAATGTAAAAGGAAATTAACTCCAACCTCTCAGGATTGCTATACGGATTAAATGGCAAAGCATCTAAAACGCTTAGCTTAATCATGGTGGGCACTCAGTTAAAGAAAAAAATTATATTACTACTGGAGTACAGGCCGTGAGTTCATGCTTTCAGACCTGGAGTTCCTGCCCCGACAGACAGGCGCTATCTCGGGATGGCTCACCTGGCTGTGAGAATAGACCGCCCCGATGCACACCACACGAGGAGGCCGCAGGAGCTGGCGAAGCAGCGCAGCCCAGGACCTCCCGTGCAAGAGTCCGAGCTGGGGCATCGTGAGGCAGGAGGCCGGCTTTCCGAGACAGCAGGCAAAAGACTTAGGCTGTCGGACCCCAAAAAAAGTGCACAGCGTTGCTGAAGCAAAGCCCGAGTTCCAGCGAAGGAGATAAGTGATCCCAAATTCCGTAAAAAAAACCCTGTCCTTTCAGGTTCCCTCTCCGCTTCGGCACTTCCTGTAGGAGCCGGAACGGGTTGTAGCGCTCAGCGGAGGCTCTCTAGGCATGCGAACCAGCGACTCGATAGCCGGAACTCATCCCAGCTGAAGCTGTCGCTACTGCCACCGATCTAGACCCAGTCCTCTCCTGTTGGCAGCCAGTATGGCAGAACGTGCGGCGCTGGAGGAGCTAGTGCGACTTCAAGGAGAGCGTGTACGGGGACTGAAACAGCAGAAAGCCGGCGCGGAGCAGGTGCGACCCAAGCGGCAGGGGAGGGGACAAAGCAAGGCCGGGGAGGACATACAGCTTGGGGTGGTTTGCACAGAGAACAGGGATGTGAGAGAGAAGGGATCCAGATGGTGGGGAGGAGGGCGAGCTAGGTGGTGAGTTAGCCGGGGCAGTACTCGAAAGAAGCCAAGTAGGCCTGGGGAGAGAGATCTGTTCCAGATCCTGATGGAGGGATACTGAATGAATGGCTGAGGGGGGAGGGGAGCCGCAGATGTGATAGCCCAGTGCCTACTTTTTCTCCACAGATCGAGGAGGAGGTGGCAAAACTACTGAAACTGAAGGCACAGCTGGGCCCTGATGAAGGGAAACACAAGTTTGTGCTCAAAACCCCCAAGGTAAATATTGCTTTAGGGAGCCCGCTTTCCTCCAGGTCATTGAGCATTATCTGAAATGCTGCAGAGGAAACAAAAGTTGCTATGGGCACCAGGCTGGATTGGACTCCACCTGAGTCATTATGGCAAAGTGATGGCAGAAACTAAGCCAGCTGGGTGCTTAGGGGAGTCAGCCTACTACTGCTACTCTTTCTTTCATTTAGTAAATATTTAGACTGAGTGTTAACTGTGTGCCTAGCGCTGTACAAACCAGTGAATATAGCATGGTGAATATGGCCTGCCCTCATGAAGCTTACATTCTACTGTGGGAAACAGTCTTAATACAAATAGCTCCACACGTGGGAATGTGATTACAAACTGTGATAAGTGATATAAAGAAATAATAAGGATGCTCTGAGAAAAATAAGGGAGAACTGATGAGTCTAAAAAAGCCTCACTGAAGTGATATACTAACTGCCCTAACAGATGAGTGGGAGATATCCAAGGAAAGAGTATGAGAAAAATAGGTCCGAATATGGAAACCCTGAAGCAGGAAAGAACCTTGGTAGTTTCCAAGAACTAGAAAAAGACCTGTGTGTCTAGATCCAAATAGAAGAAGTGGAGTAGGGTTGAAGATTCCTAGCTCAGTCTCTAGGATTTCAGTTCAGATGCCACTTTCTGTACCTTCTATAAATAGAACTATTTACCCCCTCATCTGGGTTCCCTTGCACTTTACATATATCTCTGTTGCATTTATTGCTGACTTTTAGTTATTCACATAGTTAGTTTATGATGAGAGGGTGAGACCAAGGGCCTGGAACTAAATAGGTATTCAATGAATGTATGCAAAATTGAACTCCAAAGGAGAGGGGAGATGATCTATCTTCCTTATGTTGAAGTGTCCCCTTTTATAGTTAATTCTTTGGGCTCCTAAGTTCATTGAGCTATTCCTAATTTCATAGGTGAAGGAGACAGTGTAAAATCCCAAGACAATGATCATCAGTGGTTATTCAAAATCTTAGGTGGAAAGATAAATGGGGAACTTATGATAGATCAGGCTAGCCTCAACCTAAACCCAGTGATTAATCTTCACATCACTAAAAGTAGGACAAGCAGGCACCCTCCTTATGTGATGCAATAACAAGTACACAGCACCTCCTATGAAGTATTCCTGCCAAAAAAAAAATTGAACCTGATTTTAATCAGGTCTTCAGACCTACCTAGCGGTTTACCAGAAGTATGGGTGATGGATGGACATGTTAAAGTATATTGTTAACTAAATCTAGAATGTGAACAGTTCCTTAGGACAAAGGACTCAATTTCATCAACAAATAAATGACATATTTTTAAAAAGGAAAAGAAACTGTTGTAGCTTAAATAGACATACGCCATATCAACCAAATATAATGCATGGACCTCATTTAGAATCTGATTCCAACAAGCCAACCATAAAAAGATATTGAGGCAATCAGGGAAAATTAAACATGGATTGGGCATTAGATAATATTCTGGGGTTGTTAGTTTTTTTGGTTATAATGAAGGTACTGTAATGTTTGAGGTTTTTTTATTCTTTATGTGTTAGAGGATTCATACTGAAATATTTATAGGTGAAATGGTAAGATTGATGTTTGGGATTTATTTTAAAATACTCGAGAAAAAAAAATGTTGGGGCTTAGATAAAATAACAGATGTTGATGGTAGTTGAAGCTGTGTAATAGATACATGGTGGCCCTGGCCAGTTTTGCTTAGTGGTTAGAGCATTGCCCCATGGACCGAATGGTCTCAGGTTTGAATCCCAGTCAAGGACATATACCTTGATTGCAGGTTCGATCCCTGACCCCAGTCAGGATCGTGCAGGAGGCAACCAATCGATGTATCTCTCTCCCTCCCTCCCTCCCACTGTATCTTTAAAAAAAAAAAAAAAAATCAATGAAGAAATATCCTCAAGTGAGGGTTAAAAAAAAAATTAAAATATTCCTCTTTTTACTATTGCACATCTGTGTAAGGCTGTCTTCTATTAAGCCACACATTAAAGATTTACAAAAATGTAAATTAATGCCACTCTTCTCACCATTTTTTTGTTTGTTTGTTTTGGAAAGTAGTTATTGTCCCTAAAATGTTATTTATGTTAACATGTAGTGGATTTACTGTTAGAGGAATTCGTGAATTTTTTTTTTCTTTATTGATTTTAGAGAGAGGAAGTGAAAGGGAGAGATAGAAACATTGATGAGAGAGCGCATCGACTGGCCACCTCCTGCATGCTTCCCACTGGAGATCAAGCCTACAACCTGGACATGTGTCCTGACCAGGAATCGAACCGGTGACCTCTTGGTGCATGGGTCAATGCTCAACCACTGAGCCACACTGGCCAGACTAGTGAATATTTTTTAAATGTTTGCAGTTTTAATTTTTTTTCTTTTTAGTATCTTTTTATTAATTTTTTAGAGAGAAATTTAAACATTGATGTGAGAAACATTGATCAGCTGCCTCCTGCAGGCCTCCTACTGGGGATTGAGCCTGCAACCCAGGCATGTGCCCTGACTGGGAATCAGACCGGACCTCTCAGTCAATGGGATGACGCTCAATCCACTGAGCCACACCAGCTGGGTGCAGTTTTATTTATTTTTTTATCCTCACCCAAGGACATTTTTGCATTTATCTTCAGATAGAGCTGGAGGGAGAGAGGGAGGAAGAGAGAGAGAGAGAAACATCAATGTGAGAGAGACACATCGAGTGGCTGCCACCCACACAACCCCAACCGGGTCCAGGGCCAAACTGCCACTGAGGTACGTGTCCTTAGCGGGAACCAAACCCGGGACTCTGATCCACGGGCCGACGCTCTAACCGCCGAGTCAAACCAACCAGGGCATGCAGTTTTAATTTCTAATACAATAAATATTGATAGGTATAATCCACTTTGGGGTCCTTAATAAATAGTATGAGTGCAAAGAGGGCCTGAAACCAAAGACTTAGGAGTAAAAGACCAACCTAGAAGCTATTATCTAGAAGAAAGATTTCTAGTCCTGACTGCCATGAACCTGCTGAGTGGATTTAAGTAATGATTTAACTTCTTAATATCCTCTAATTCATCTGTAAAATGTATCTGCCCAGCCCATGTCATAGGTCTATTAGAAACAAGTTAGAGAATAAATACTATTCATTAGGATTTTTATTTATTAATTTTTCTTTTGTTAACCTCACCTAAGGACATTTTTCTACTGATTTTTTAGATAGAGTGGAAAGGAGGGAGAGAGAGAAACATCAATGTGAGAGAGACACATCAATCAGTTGCCTCCCGCATGACCCCAACTTTCCGGGGATGAAACCTGCAACCCAGGTATGTGCCCTTGACCAGGAATCAAACATGAGATCCTTTAGTCTGTGGGCCAATGCTCTAACCACTGAGCAAAACCCGCCAGGGCAGGGTTATTTATATATTTTGAGAAAGGATGTCACTTATAAATTTTGGAGTTCAACTAGTTAAGCCAGTTTGAGTTGGCTATGTGCCTGTCATCAGGTAGGTGTTTCCTGTTAGGCTGGGAAATGTTGTGTTACCCCAAGGAAAACTTCTGAGAAAATAGAGTTCTAAGAATTCTAGAAAATGAACCAAGCTTAAAAGGGAATGGAATGCCCTGGCTGGTGTTGTCCAGTGGTTAGAGCATCACCCATGGACCAAAGGGTCTCGGGTTCGATTCCCAGTCAAGGGCACATACTTGGGTTGCAAGTGCATTCCCCGGCCCTGGTCGGGGTGGGTGCAGGAGGCAGCCAATCATTGTCTCTCTCTCACATCATGGCTTCTCTTTCTCTCTCTCTCTACCCCACTTCATCCCTTCCTCCCTTCCACTCTCTTTGAAAATCCGTGGAAAAATATCCTCAGATGAGGATTTAAAAAAGAATATAATAAAAGGGAATGGAACTTAGAAAGGTGATAGCAATGGGTGTGGTGATAGGGAATTGTACTTGTTTCACAACTCGGTAGCCTGTAGGAAAATTGAAGTTTGGGGCAAGATTTGCATTCATCATTGCTGAGTTCATGCTTTTATATTTATAGACCTTATTATTATTATTATTTTTAATCCCATCCCTGTTTCTTTGGCTAACTTTGACTCCAAGGGCACAAGAGACTACAGTCCCCGGCAGATGGCAGTTCGGGAGAAGGTGTTTGATACAATCATCAGCTGCTTCAAGCGCCATGGTGCAGAAGTTATTGATACACCTGTGTTTGAACTAAAGGTGAGGGAAGGGTGAGAAATTACATGGTGGGAGAGTGGGTGTGTGAACAAGAGGATGACAAGAGAGTGAGGACCCAAAGATCTCTCTCTCCTGCTGTGGACAAACACCAGTATTTTCTCCAATGGGAAAGGTTTAGAGGGAGAGGTCCTGCTGTTTGTTTACCTTGGTTTT